TGTTTCTGACCTTCAAGCATAGTTCTGCACATGCTTCAGATAAAGACAGTCCCATTTAGGACGATGAAAATACTTGAAGTTAGCAATCACTTGAAAGCTGCATTGTCTCATGCAAGCCTATTACACTTTATTCTATAATATAAGTAAGTGATGTGAGCTGACAGATTGCACTGTAGTCTCATCTGAATAATCCATGTAGCTGAGGAAAAAGAAAACAAGGCCTATTAAGTAATTGCAATATGAATGCTGTTGGATACAGCTTTGCCTGACACAGCTGGGAAATGTTCAAGAAGAATATTATTAAGGCTGCCAAAGGCTGAGTATTCCATTAGTGATAAATCAAGTATGAGTTTTTGTTTTTCAGTTCATTGTTAAGTCTCTTAGACTATACTCTGCCTCCAAATGATTGATCATACAAGGAAAATATTGTGAAGGTGTTTAAGTAAGACTAGAAATAAGACACTTGCTTTCTACTTCTCAGGAGGGACAAGGAACTTTACTATCTGTAAGCACCTCACAAAGACACTTACTTCTTGTCATGGTATCTATCGTATCATAGTATCTAATTAGACAATAATAAACAAAAGCCACACGTATCTAATCCCAAATCAACAGCATAATTCTGGAGGCTCCTGTTGTGACAGCCATACACTGAATGAGCCACACTGTCTTCTATTGCATGTCTTGTTAGTATATTTAAATTTGCTGAAAAAAAGGGCAGAGAATGTGCAAGTCTCATCATCTCTCTGTCTTGTTTCTTAATTGAAAGAGGCAAAGAACTGCAGAACTGAACTGCCCTTATTCTGTTAGCTAATTCCTTCTCTTTGCATGTCCATACTTGGGAGAAAGGCTTGGAGTAGTTTTGAGCTTCTTTAGGCAAAAGGTTAGAATTTGACACTCCTTGTTGTCCAAAAATAAAAAGGAAAAATAAAAGAAAGATTTATTATGTTTTGAATCTGCTACTGGGTGTATTATTGCTGGATTTTTTTTTTCTTTCCAATCAAAGTCCAAAGGATTTTTATTTTTGTGTGGCTCACCACAAAATGTAATATTTTTTATTTTCTTTACAGAACAGGAACACAAAAGTGATTCAGTTTTAGAAACTTTTTGGTCAAAAATAGGTATGTCCCAACCCTTTCTCTCTTCACGGTATGTGAAGTCTGGTCAAAGTATAATATTTTTGCCTACTGTTAGTTAGATTAAATTTCTCAGAGCAGACAGAGTGTTGGAAGCCAGAAAATGAGTATTCTCATGCTGCTTCATAAACAATATCACACCTAGTTGAGGAAGACAGAGCTTTATAGGAATCCTGTTTTTAATGGTGTGTCCTTATTTCCCCTGCTTTATTTCTTTCATTGCTATTATTACTAAAAAAATTATACGGGCTTTTAGAGTGACCATGTTATAATGCAGATATGGTCAGACTATGCATGCACAAAAAAACTGGTGCAGAAAACATCAGGTGTGAGATCAATTTAAAACAAGGAAAAGAAAAAAAAACAACTGGAATGTTAACCTTGGTAACAAATCATCAGCTATCCCTAAAAAGCCTTTGTCTGGATTTAGATTTAGAAAGAAAGAAAAAAGTAGGTTTTCTGTCTTTTTCAAAATTAGCAAATTACAGTTTCTGATTATTAGACCAGTTCCATGAAGGCTCTGTATAAGACAGCACTCAGCTTGAAAGGGGGAGTAGGAACTGACACAAAATACTTAGGTATCTGAAAGATGTGGCTAATTCAAAAGATGGGAAAACAACCTGTCACCCGGAGCAGGCATTTCTTTGTGCACAGTGACATGATAGACGTGGCAGTCATTTTATGAATTTACTGAATATGTATTGACGAACTTATAGGCACTGCTGTGAATGTAAGTTTCCATTGAGAAAAGAAACGAAAGTACTACCCTGACTAATCCTCATTTGAACAGCACCATTTATTTCAGAAACAAGCACACAAACATTTGCAGATCCTAAACTTGCTAGAACATTAGGTAATCTCCTAGATACTTATCCTCATTGCTTTAAGATATGAATCTTAATTTTCTAGCTCTGTTTCAAGTCACTACATCTTTATTATCTACCCTGAAGGAACTCAAAATACACAAAATCACACACTATGACTGTGCTTTTGTGATTGGATATCACATCATTGGTCCTGGAGTTTCTACCTCTGTTCTTCTGTAATTTCTTTATTCTTTCTTTATCCTTTAATTTTCTGTAACTCTATTTTGGAAAGGGCTTGATTTTGGTGACAAAAGTGTTAGCTATTTATCTGGATTCATTCACGTATATATTCCAGAAATCCATATAGCATTGTTTAAGGTATTCTTGAATTGAAAATTTTAGATAGGTATAATTAAATTAAATAAGCATAATAAAGCATTCTCCACTCTCTCCTCAAGAGCCAGCTTATCAAACTACACTGAATCCAGCAGCAGAAGACTTTAATGATCATTAAGTCAAACTGTGACAGCCTACATATTTGCATTAGAACTAATGAAAGAATTTAGGATCTGCAAGGCAGTAATTCTCTATAGTTATTTTCAGTTCTTTTCTATGCTTCAGAGATTACAATGTAAAGGCTATAACCAGGGAGCTTGCCTCCTTACCCTGAATAAAACAATGACATGGAGGGAGGAGATCCAGGCTAAAGGGGCTTATTCATTCCACATAAACAGAGGAGCAAGTATGGATTTCTGTATTCCAGATGAGCAGGGTAATCTCAGAGATATTTGTCTGGTTCATGATGGTAAACAAAACTCCACATAAATAATAGCTAAGCAAGTTTCCAGTATCTCAGATCCGGCACATGCTTTTTCAGGAGGTTGACAATCTGGCATTCACTGATTATGCTAGTTATGTATTGTTCTCACTTTACTACCTATTGGTGAACACCAGCAGGAATGCAGTTTCATAAAAACTTTACTTGTTTATTTTTTTGGATGCAAATGGGGCCTGGCAGAAAAGCAGAATCAATGGTGCTGGTCATGGCACCTATTTCAACAGATTGCCAAAAGCAAAGGGGTTGATTCAGAGCATAACTTCACTAGTGCTGCTGTAATGAAAATATATCCCTTGCAAGTGTGACTACTTTACAACATGAGAGCAGATCTGTAAAATTAAGTGATGCTAGTACCCTATTAAGGACAGAACTTCTGTTTTTTTCTGGAAAGGAAAACATTAGGTAGCCTCATTTTGCATAACTCAAAAATATAGCTAGGGCACATTCTCCTAAGCCTGATGCCACGTTGTTGGGACTCAGCACATATCTTCTGCTTGTGTTTCTCTTAGCCATGCCTGTTCTTCTATGCTTTGCACAAGCACATTTTCGTGTTGTTGTTTTTTTTAAAAAAACCTTGGTCTAGCTTCTCTTAGCTGCTGCAGCTGTGCAGCATCACCTTAACTGCAACAGATTCTTCTGAATCCATGAGAGAAACATCGTAATTTGCTTTCTGACCAACTGAGAATATGCTGAACTGGCATCAGTTTAAGATGTATTCTGTAGTTTTTTCTTGTCCCTCAAATTGCCATCAACTGGACAGGCTCTTTTCGCTAGAAAGCTGTGACAAACACCATTGCTTAGTGCAACTCAGGGAGAGCACAGCTGTTCTGCATTTGTCTGAAAACTTTTCCAGCAAGTCACAGAAAGTTTTGTGCTGAACTGAATTCCAGTCTTAATAAACAAGTTAAATAAAATCTCCTAGAAGTGCCTTCCTATCTTCATGCATACTCACTTGTATCCAGATATTTTCCCTAGTCATGCTCTGCTCAATGCAAAACAGTAACGTAATTATGTTCTTTAGCAGGGCAGCCTGAACTTGAAATTATTCATATGTCTTTGAAAGTTATTTAATTATGATCTTTGAGTTAGTGGCACCTGGAAAAAAAAAAAAAAGAAAATAAGAGAAAAAAGAATGACAAGTCTATTTGGGTAGTTATTGTTTACCGAGTGCTTTGCACATGATAAATTTGTTGCTGGGAAACATTAATGTGGGTCATCTGTTCTGCTTGTTTGCATAGTCTTATTCCACAGCAAATGTGAAAAACTTTATCCATCTGTCAAAGAAAAAAGAAGAACTGCATGTTTATCCTTCAGTGTCACATGGAGAAATCATGTGGAGAGTGTTAACACATTTTATGTGTTCTTATTTGTATTTCAAAGCACCAAGATAGGAAGTGTTCCAAAATTCTGGCGAATAAACTTTTATTTTTGAACATTACATAAATATAATTGCACAACAAGATTTCTGGTTTCAAAATTCATTTATTTAAGCTCACATAGAATTTTTCACAAACCAAGTTGCCATTAAGTATCTCTGTATCAGAGATGATAGCCTCAGTAAACCTTGCTTCCTTGGATTAGATATTTGTTTGAAAAGGAATCATTTATTTTCTAGACTTGGTACGCATTCGGATGTCTACAAGTAGGAAATTCCAACATTTGATTCCTTGATTTCAGTCCTTATCGGACTGTGTAAGTAACTGAATTGCAGTTCATTTTTCTGCTTATGATGGGACACTCCAAAATGGGTATGCAGAAATAACCACATCTTGTCATTTGTTTAAAAAAAAAAAAAAAAAGAAATGACATACTTCAACACTGAAGAATGAAACTATTTTTATTTGGTTTGTTGAATAGATGAGAAAAAAATCTTTCTTATTTTCACATTGAGCCATGTTTTCCTAGAATTGCAAAGCATCTCCTGGGTACACAGATTACCTCCCAAGAATGGATTTTCTTCCCATATGGACCTTCACATACATTAATCCATTCAGCCAAATGATCGCACCATATTATGCAAGGACTTGGCTAGAGGAATATTACACACTGTGAACTAGGTATAGGAGCCTGAACTCTCTTTAAACAATGTATCATACGCTGAAGTTAGACCTTAAGATTCTTAATGTTCTCTATGTTTTTGTTGCTGTTGTTTTTAGTATTTTCTTGTTTTTAAATTCAAAAATAGTCCCAAAGGGGTTTGCTTCTTTCTTCCTGCCTGCACTTCTGCCTGCTCCTTTTGTTATTTCTGTATATAACTGAAACTGAAGTATTGTTGGTGAATATAACTGTTTGGCTTCCTCTGTTACCCACCAGATGTTTTGGCTGTTAAAATTCTCACTGAGTCTTGCATTCTGTCATAATACATCATGACAATTGTTTTAACATTCACTGCAAAAATGGCATTGTCTGCCATGACCCATCAAGGTATCCGGTTCCTTCTGTACCATGGCATGCTTCAGTCTCTCAGTGCTCTTCAGTGTACTACTGCTTTCAGTGCTGTATCCTGTTAACCTGCAGTATGGTGGAAAAAACAGGATGGAGTCTTCCCACAGTGTTGTGTCTCCCTTTTGCCTCTGGAGCCCTATGTCTAGATTGTCTATAGATTTGTGCCTAGATATCACAACATCCAGTAGTTAATTCACGGATGCAGTCATGATGACCATGCATAACATGATGCTCACATTTAGAAAAATATTACCTGTTGCCAAGACCTACAGGCACAATATTAATATGCAACGCTGCACTAACCATTAGACTTATTAGATTCTGCCATACACATTTGTAATACGGTAACACACCAGCATACTTGGAATTCAGAAACCACACAGATGCAGAAAATTTTACAGAGCATATATGAGGCAGTTTAGAATTACTGCAAAAAAGTCCCAGCATGTGGAGAAAGGCAGATTGTCTAATTCTGAACAGCACTTATGAATAAAGTCATACAGAACTTGGGTACACATACTGAAGAAAATTTTAGCAGCGGTCTCCCAAGGACTAGTTACAACTGAAATGTGATTAAATCTGACAAACACAGGCTTCTATGTGTACTCGAGATCTAGGCAACTGATGTCCATCAAATCAAGAATTTGTTCTATGATAAAATTAAGTTTTTTTAAAACTGTGTGCTCTGTTCCATGTTGAGGAAACACTATTTTTCTACAAACAATCTAAAATGAAGACTCTTATGCACAGTATGCTGCTAGAGATGTGGTGGTCCAAAGGTTAGACAATTTTTGGCAATACTTCCTCAGCAACTAGTATTATATTAGGTTATTCACTTACCTTTCTTTCTTTGATTAAAAAGATCCACTGAATATTTTTATTACCAGTGTCATTTATTCTGATTAGTCAGTAAATCTGACATCTCAACTATATCTTTCTGAAAGAGTATAGCAATGAGCAATTGCAGAAACCGCCTGGTAAGCAAGCTCTAAAACACAAACAAAACATTATCCAAATATTGAAGCCAAAGAAAAAGTTAAAGAAAAGAGCACAATTCAGCTGTCACTAGAGGAGAAAAAGTTCTTTTGGATTGCTGTTATAGCAATCAGGTGGCAAGTTTAGCTGGGCTGTGTTTTTCTTATTATTAAATCACAAGCCTAAAAATATCAGGTCAGTGTCACAAATAGAGCTGGGCAGGCTATTTTTAAGGAAAATTTATTTAACAAAACCTTTGTACAGTGTGACTGACCCTCTAAGTCCAATGACTGCTCTATTGCCTTTGGCAGGATCCCAGAAAGGGAAGAACTAAGGAGGTGATAGAAAATGTCTGGAGCTCTCAGAAGTACTCTTTCAGATCTAGTGATCAGTAGCAGAGGAAGAGCTGAAAAAGGCTATTTTTGAGCTTAGTCAGGCAACATGAGATTGAGAACAAAGAAAAACTGTGATGGAAACAGCGGTGCAAAGGACTTTTGAGGTGGAGAAATGTGTAACGGGAGGCATTAGAGAAAACTTGCTACAAAGCGGAGTAAATAGCAGAGCAGGTGAAACCTGAGGAACTGAAAAGAGGATAGTCCAGTTGTTCAATGGGTGACAAGTGAAATAGGCAATGGGCATAGAAGCCTCCTGGGGAGGGCTCCACAGGTCTTCAATGTGGCGTTGTGCTCCTATGCCTGGTGCAAGTGCATCAAGGATTGCGTTTGTCCAGGCCTTTCATCTCATTCCTTGCCAGAGGACTTGTGCCTTCTACCAAACCTCCATTCAAAGAGGTCTCTCAATTTGTAGCAGGTAAATTGGACAAGGATCCTGTCTGCAGGCTGCCTTTGAGATTTTCTGCCTAGCCGCAGCTGTTCTGCACATGCAGGCCACGACAAAGTCAGAGCACGGTATGGCCTAGCCTCCAGGCACGCCAGTGGGTCTGAGCTTTGCATCCTTATCCCAGCACATCTGCTGCTGCACCCAAGGGCTGTGCACAGCCGGATGATCTGGAGGCTATCCCAACTGGAGGGCTCAGAAGCCCCCTTGCTATCCTTAGCCTTGCAAAGAGGTTTGCATAAGCTGAGCTCAGGCTGATCTTAGTTTTATCCATTATGTAATGCTCAAAATGTTTTTGAATGACTAGGAATCGTTTGTTGATGCTTCACTGTCCACTGAAAGACTGCTCTTTGTAATTGTTTGTGTTGCAACTGTACTTCTCCAGGCATAGTGTTTGTGCCTTGGCTGTGAGAATAGCAGATCAATAGTGGTGCTTGGTAGATATTGAATGCTTCTTGTGGAAAACACATGCTTTCCATGAACAGACTTCTGGATACAACTTCTGGTGCAAGCATGTTTGTGACAGGTAAATGAAATCTGGCAGCACTTTTATTAGAGCCACTGCAGAAATGTGCAGCCTTGCATTCAAGTACTTTCATGTTCTACACTGTTTGTTCAGTATAATAGTGGAGGTACTGTAAAGTCCCATGGCTGAATATTGCTTATTCAAGACTTACAGTATTTGCTAGGCAGACGATAAGCAGACACTACTTTTAATTAATGCAGAATAGAAACCCTTGCTTCTCATCAGCTCTTTTACACTTTTTTAATGCTCGCTGGGAGCATTTGATTATCTTATCTGCTCTTATTCATGATATAGACCAAAGCATTTCATACAGGTAGTTTCACAGAGGAGAAGTCTTAACTGCTTCAAGAAAATATACACAAAATATTCGTAATTTTTCTAAGCTTTTTGGTAACTGTGGGTAGGTGTCCACTTTATCTTCCTGAAGCATACACTGACAGTTTGCGTCACGTTTTTATACTATACTTTGAGAAGAGATAGATAAGTTTTAAATAAAAAAGCAAGTCAAAGGAAAACAAAAGAAGCTCAACTCAGGGAGACTGTCAGTGGAAAGTACTTGTATTTAAGTTCTGTAGTGTTTATTTCTCTAGAAAATTTTATTTCTCTTACCCAAAGGAGATAAGGAGGGAACAAAAAGATCATCATGGAATTTGAAAGGAAAGGCTATCCTAAAATAGATGTTAATTCTCAAGAATAGTAGAGTTGTCATAATACTGCAACATTCTTCCATAATTTGAATGTGATGATGTTTTAGACCATAGACATATTAGTCTGCTAGTTGGGGCCTGTGACTGAACCTCATCTGGAGGAATTTGATCGCAGGGCAGAAGTGGTATCCAGAGTTGTGGAATGAATACACATTATTTAACTACATCAGTGAAAGATGCAGAATCTGCGCTAACGCTGGCAAAGAGGAACACCCAATAAGAACTATGCAAGTTCACAGAAAAGCAGATAAGGAGTATTTACTAGTCCTGCTCTTCTAAAAAAACAATAGCTTCTGTTAGCAGAGCAGAAGAGGCATCCAGGGGAGTAGCTAGATTTCTCAGACACAATATCCAGCTTCACTCTAGAGTTATAGAATCTGAAAACTTTTGTGCATACATAAATTCTCAGCAGCCCTTTGAATTTGTTTCTTTTTATAAAGGAATGCAGACTATGGTTTCTGAGATTTCCATACAAATCCCTCAAAATCTGAAATAGAGTGGATTCCAAATCCAATTCTCTTTCAGAACTTCTGTATAAAAGATGAACAATGTTGCATTCTATAATCTGAACTGTAAGGCTGGATCCTTGATAAGCACATCATGGATACCCACCAAAAATAGGTTGGAAATTACCTGCAACATCATCTAGTCTAACCATCCTCCCATTACCATTTTTACTGTAGTCTTCCCCACAGGTTGATCTTATACCACTCTTTTGAATCACTGTCTCATGACTCTGCAGTTGTGGGACTGACGTGGTCCAGATAGTCTTAGAAATCCCAGTGATTTGTTACCACTTCTGCCATCTTCCAGTCCTCATTTTCAATCTGAAAGGGAAGTATCTCCCCTTGTCATATACCAGTGCCAGCCTTCAGTACCTCAGAACTTCTTCCTTATTGGCTTCTTTGCAGTATATGAATACAAAGCATACTGAACATGTATTTTCTATGCAGGAACATTATTTCAGATGACTCTTTGGCAAAGAAAATGTTTCAGAATTGGAAAAAACAGACTAGCTTGTAAATGCTGCCAAAAGCACCAAATCTTTTTTGAGGGCAGACACTTTGGATGCTTTAGCTGACAGAAAACCACTGAGGGATATTTTTCAAAATATAAAGTACTGTCCTTTTGAAACTGCCCAGTTATTTGGAAGAATGTAAAGTATATTCACAGGATACTGGAATACAGCCACCTGACACTGCTTCAGTAGGAAAAGTTCTTGCAAATCAAAATTGGACTTTGGATTTTAATAGTATTAATAAAAAAGACTGAAGGAAACTCTTGCATTTGAGTAGGAGTTTATTTTTGGTTTACTTGGTAGCTGGAAATAGAATTTTCTATACATAGGAACCACATTTTGCCTCTGGTGTGGGTATTTCTGTCTGGCTGGACTTGGAAGAGGCTATTGGTGACAGATGTACTATTTGTTCTGAACTCCAAGCAATCCATACTTGCATCCTTTTGGAAGTTTAATGATGAGCTGAATGTTGAGCTCACAGTCTGAAAAATAAGCTCAGACAAAATAAAACATCTATTTGTCCTATGTAGGCATTCTCTGAATTGCATCTGGAATGTGCCATCCTTGCTGACTGTCAGCTCCTGGGGCTTACAGAAATGTTAGTGAATGAATTACGTAAAAGGCTATCCTTTCTCACCTTTTGTTGTGTGTTTTTATTCATGCTTTTCTTCTCATTGCACTCTGTGACAAAAGTTTAAGCAGACTTGGAGAGAGGGGTAGCAATGTAGGCCGCTGGACTACTGGACCAAAACATTAAGGATCATGTTCAGTGTTGTCTGCCTGGTTCTGTCGAGCTGCCCTATAAATTACCATTACACAACTCTGCAACATGAGCTATAAAAATAAGTATTGAGAAATGAATAGGTCAGAGAATGAGAGTGAGTTCATTCTGTAGTGAGTTCAAAACCACAATTGTTCCCCTCTTTCCTCTTCTTCCCCCAGAAGCAGAAATGAAATTATGTCATTTTACCTAGCTTTATGTCAGATTTTCCATAATTCACTC